CTCATTTCTCATTCTATAAATGAACCAAATTTAAATTAACTAAAAAAGCTAATTAAATAATAATAATAATATATTAAATTAAGAAAATGATTTTTTAAATGAAAATATCAATATTAAATTAATTTAAAAAGCAAATTAAATAATAGCAATATGTGTGTGTATGTATGTGTGTATATATATATATATATATATATATATATATATACACACACACACACACACATATTTGTATGAATAATAGATAAAGAAAGAAATAAAAGCAGCTGATCCTGACAGTCAATCATTTAATTTTTAACATTTGATTTTAAGTTAATACTCTAACCTAGAACAATCATAAAGCTTAATTACAAAAAATATATATATGAATATATTTAAGCATTAATGATTTACTTTGGTCAAACATCGTGTCAAAGCTAATCTTTTACTGCCTTTCTACTATAACGTTGATCATTGTCCAATCATGAATAAATAAATAAAACCTAAACTGCAGCTAACTTGACAATCAGTGATTAATAAGCAGTTGTTGATTTTTATTTTTAATTAAAATTTTTAGCATCTAATTTTAAATAAATACTTTCAGCTATAATGATCATACAGCTTAATTTCCTAGTAAAGAAGTAATATATATTTAAATACATTATTTCATACTACATATAGTTCAAATCTATTAAAGGGGTGGTTGATTGCGATTTCACTTTTTTTACGTTAGTTAGTGTGTAATGTTGCTGTTTGAGCATAAACAATATCTGCAAAGTTGCGGTGCTGAAAGTTCAATGCAAACAGAGATATTGTCTTTTAAAATTCTGGCAGTTTAATGCCTACAAAAAACAGCTCGAAGGGACTACAATGAGTTACTTCCCAGGTTTGTGACATCACAAACCCTGATAAACCCCACCCCCGGGAACATGCAACAAAGGGGTCGGGTCTTGTCCCCCTGCTCTGCACATGCTCTGCATCTCTCTCTCTCTCTCTCAATCTCTCATTCAGATCATCAGCTCAGCTCAAACAATGAACTGTTGCGTGCGTTTACCGTACTGTATTAAAGCTTTAATCAGGTTAAAACCGTATATTAGAAGCTAACAGAAGCAGTGGCATTTACAAATAACAGCGTATCTAAAAGAATGAGACAACAACAAACAAAAAACATACCACTAAAAGCCATGCTTGCACAGGTTCTGGACGATCCCCGTCAATAATATCCTCTGCTTCTCAATCGGGCTAAAACTGATAAGCGATATTAACGACGCGTTGTTTACAATACAACCAGAGCACATGCCGCTGAGGAGAGGGGCGGGAAATTTAGAC